CGTATCATTTGAAATAAAACTTTAGAAATGCAGAATAGTGGTTGCCAGAGGTTGGCAGCTGGGGTGGCAATGGGGAATGGCGTGTGGGAGGTGGACGCGGGTATAATAGGGGAACACAAGCAATTCTAGTGGTGACGAAACCTTCAGTATTTTGATTGTAGTGGTGGAAACACAACCCGACACGTGATAAACTGTGTAGAGCTACACACTGTGTGCACTCACACACATGCACAAATGAGTATAAATAAAACTGGGGAAATCTGAAATCGATGGGGGATTGTATCAATGTCAATATCTTAGTTGTGATATTATATCATAAATTTGCAAAATATTACCGTTACAGAAAACTGGGAAAGTGGATGTGGGGTCTCTCTCTGTTATTTCTTCTTTATTTTATTTTGTTTTGAGACAGGGTCTCACTCTTACCCAGGATGGAATGCAATGGCAGGATCACAGTTCACTGCAGGCTCAGTCTCCTGGGCTCAAGTGATCCTCCTGCCTCAGCCTCCTAAGTAGCTGGGATTATGGGTACATGCCACTAATTTGGCTAATTTTTATTTATTTATTTATTTTACTTTTTATGGAAACAGAGTCTTGCTATGTTGCCCAGAATGGTCTTGAACTCCTGGGCTCAAGAGATCCTCCTGCCTTGGCTTCCCAAAATGCTGGGCTTACAGGCATGAGCTATTGTGCCCTACTGTATTACTTATAATTGTGTATGAATCTGGAATTGGATTAATACAAATTTCAATTAAAGATAATTTGCTTCCTGTTTTTTTAATGATCGCCATTCTAACCAGCATGAGATGGTATCGTTGTGGTTTTGTGTTTCTCTAATGACCAGTGATGATGAGCTTTTTTTCGTGTTTGTTGGCCATGTGAATGTCTTCTTTTGAGAAGTGTCTGTTCATATCCTCGCCCACTTTTTGATGGGGTTGTTTGTTTCTTTCTTGCAAATTTGTTCCCATTCCTTGTAGATTCTGGATATTAGCCCTTTGTCAGATGTTAGATTGCAAATATTTCCTCCCACTCTGTAGGTTGCCTGTTCTCGCCGCTGATAGTTTATTTTGCCGTGCAGAAGCTCTTTGGTTTAATTAGATCCCATTTGTCGATTTTGGCTTTTGTTGCCATTACTTTGGTGTGTTAGTCATAACGTCTTTGCCCGTGCCTGTGTCCTGAATAGCATTGTATAGGTTTTCTTCTAGGGTTTTTATGGTTTTAGGTCTTATGTTTAAATCTTTAATCCATCTTGAGTTAATTTTTCTGTAAGGTGTAAGGAAGGATGAAGCTGGAAACCATCATTCTCAGCAAACTAACACAGGAACAGAAAACGAAATACTGCATGTTCTCACTCATAAGTGGGAACTGAACAATGAGAACACACGGACACAGGGAGGGGAACATCACACTTCGGGGCCTGTCAGGTGGTCGGGAACTAGGGGAGGGATCGCATTAGGAGAAATACCTAACGTAGATGACAGGTTGATGGGTGCAGCAAACCACCATGGCACGTGTATACCTATGTACAAAACTGCACGTTCTGCACATGTATCCTAGAACTTAAAGTATAATTAAAAAATAATAATTTGCATGTTCAGAGATTTAAAACACGAGCACACACTCATCTACTCATACACAGCGCAGCTTGCAATCTTCCCTCTTCGTTGAAACAGTATTTTCCTTGGGGAGTTCGTCGCCCGTCACATTGTCCCTGCCCTCTCCCCTCTGGCATCTGTAAAATGTCTGGACAAAGAGAGGCACTGCAGAAAGCGCACCTGGACGCCTGCCTCCGCCCCTGCTTTTGTCTTCAGCTCTCATCACTGCTGCTCAGGTTGTGGCTCTGAGTCGGCTGAGCTAGCTCATTAGGAGCATTAACACCGCAGCCCTGACTAAGCCCAAATTTGGCAAGCCAGGAGAAAAAGAAAGAACAGAAAAAGGAAAGCCAAAACTGCAGGGAGGCAGGACTGAGGAAGAAGGATCTGAAGCCAGTGCTGCACGCGGCAACGGAGCTGCTCTCACGGGTCGATCAGAGGCCACCGGCTTTTTCCCTGGCAGCAGGAAGCAGCAGAAGGAAGAACACTGCGCGTTCAGCCACATCTTTGTGATTAATCATAATCTTCCATCTTAACCCACAGGCTGCAGGGGCGTATGTGCACAAAAGGCACATCTTTCCCCTGCTGCCACTTCAATTCTCCAGGAGTAAACAGGTTAGACCAGTGACTTGGTGTGTATACACATATATATATAATGTATATAACACGGGTGCAAGATTGTGTCACTGGTAGTGGAGTACTGTCATTAATCACCTGTATACATTTGGTGGTTTTTCAGCATTGATGGACTTTAAGGGTGTGGTTTAGTCAATCTGTTCTCCATGATTAGGGCAGCACCCTCTTCCGTGGCGTAGACATTGGTAGAAGACAAGGGAGACCTGGGCATCTAAGGGAAACCGGTGCCAGGAGTACAGGCTTTATCGCTCCTGCTCACCCGACAGCAGGCAGATATGGGGGAGGGGAGCTTCACCGACCCTTGAAGTGGTGCATCTCCCTCCAAGGGAAGAGAGGGATCCGCCTCAGTTCAGAGTGTGCTGCCCCTAAAATCTTCCCTGGTCTCCTGGCTTGTCCTCCCTTTCTGCCATCAGTTTACCCTTTGCCCAGGCTGGACCCCACGGTCATCACTGTAAGCCACGAGACTCTGAGGGCCTTGGAACTGCTGCTGTCCGACCCGATTCTTTTCTGCGTTTTCTTGCACAGCGATTTCTGAAGAAAGTCACAAAGCCGTGCTATTTGCATTCCCAGAATTCGTGCTGACTGTGGTCTGGCCCTCAGAGTGACTGCACAGTGCTCAACTGTGTTCATCTTCTCTTGACTTTCCTGTGCACTGTCTAACACTGTCCCTTTAAGCCCACAGGGCACTTCTGCCCCCTCTGTTGTTATCAAATTACCATCCTCTCAGTTGTGTAAAATAGTTAAGGACAGCCAAGAAAAGCTTTCTCCACTTCCCTTCTCTCCGTCTCGCCTCACACCTTCCCATGTTTCCCCGTCTCCTGCACTTGCCAGGTTGTCCGCTGACCCCCAGCATTATCGGCCTCTCCCTGTCTAACATTTCCCTTTCCATCTACCACCCCAGGCCCCACCCTGGGCTCCTGTGCGGCCTCTGCCCCTCCCACCCCTGCTTCACCCTTGGTGGACTTCCCACCTCCATTGCTGTACGGAGCAACACACTCCAGCACCTCTCAGCATCAGCTCAAAGCCGTTTTCTGGCTTGGCTGCCTTACCTTCTTTTTTTCTTTTTTTTGGGGGGGGATGGGAAGAGACTTTATTATTTTTTTTTAACCTTATTTCTTTTTTTTTTTTATTATTGCATTTTAGGTTTTGGGGTACATGTGCAGAACATGCAAGACAGTTGCATAGGTACACACGTGGTAGTGTGTTGTGCTGCCTTCCTCCCCTTCACCCACATTTGGCTTTTCTCCCCAGGCTATCCCTCCCCAGCTCCCCCCCCCCCACTGTCCCTCCCTATTCCCCCCAATAGACCCCAGTGTGTAGGCTGCCTTACCTTCTACCGCAACAGTCCCTGTGCCCGTCTGCTTCGAGGCACTCTCTCCGGCCTTGTTTCTTGGGCACTCGCCTGGCTCACAAGGTTTCCTGATGATTTCGGCTCCGCCTCCTCTGTTGTCTTACTTCTTCCTGCAGACTCTAATTCATGAGCTCTCTGGAAGCTTGTCCTCTCGCCGATGCCTCCTTTCCTGTTTGAATGTTCTTAGCAAACTCATCCCCTCGCAGGACTTCAGGGACCGCTCTGGGCCTGGCTCCTGGGTCCCATCTCAGACTCTGACCCCTGTTCCTGCTCCGGTCTTTGATTTGGGAGGTTTGCCGGACATCCTCATGTGGAAATCAAAGTCCTTAGTGCCCACGTCTGAACTCACCATCTTTCACCCAACCTGCCCCTCTCTGTGAATCCTGTTTACATGCCCATTATCCAACCTGGGAGCTTTAGCACCACCTTCCCTGCGAGTCCTCAGAGGTAGCCCTGGGTCTTCATTCGTCCCACCCTGACATCTGGGACAAGGCCTGATACAGATTAGCAGATACACAGGACATTTATGAATGGCCTCTTTGCACTCCCCCTCCTCATTTGATCAGCTACTAAGTCCTAGCACTGAGAATCATCCGCCACCAATAATTCACATGAACTTCGTGAAGGACCCAGAGAAGTTGGCAGTGATACTGGAAATTGCAAGGAGTAGCAAAGACGTACTCCAGATCTGGCCTGTGTGGACCTGGGGCCCCTCTGTCTGCTCAGCGTCACAGAACAACGTGTGAAGCGCGTTTCAGGATGTGTGTAGTATTACAGTGATCTTTCCTATTTATTTTGTATCCGTCTCTACTAAACTAATTCTGGACAAGCGACTCTCATGGGTTTTGTAGCTTTGCCATTTAGCAATAGCGGGCATTTACTTTCTCTCTTTGGCATAATTAAATGTCTTATTTCTATTTCATCTGTTACATACGAAGACATCCTTAAATAAGAAAAGAAACAACAGAATGTCCAGACTCTCACTCGAGCGTCTCATCTGCTGAGAAAGCATCTTGAAGGGACTAAGAACTTGTTGACGGTTCCCTTGTGGGGTGTGCATGTTTTTAGGTAACTGGGCAGGCACCAGCTTTGGGGGGAAAAAGGCTTTGAAAGGGCTCCATTCAAAATTCCAGTTAACTCCCATCACCATTGAACAGCAATTAGGAACACTAACAGTGTACCCTGCATACATTATTACCCAGTTAGATATTTGTGTTGCTAGCAGATTTATGTCCCCAAAGAAGGAAAGGAAATGCAGCTTAGATGAGAACACAGCAGGCGCTGTGCTCAGGAGCCAGGCCGTGTGCGCAGGGATGCTGAGAGGCCAGGCTCCTGAAACCTTTCCTGGGGGGGCCCTGAATGCCACACTGCTGCACCGGAAGTGGGGATTTAGTTCTCTATTTCATTTACTCTGCAAAGACAAAAAACAAAAGGTCCGCAGCAATTCCTTGAAATTACCCTGTAACACAAGGTTAACGTCAGCAGTGCCATTTTTCTGTACAAACGAAGAAACTGGGCTTTGGGTTTTATTCTCAGTGAAATCGTTAAAACACACAATTCCCCAAGGCCTTTCCAGCAATGGGATCAGACACAGAGATGAGAAGAGCCGGGTGTCCGGCTTTGTTCGTCAGAGAACTGAGAACGCTCAGGGCACACGTCGAGTCACAGGTTTTCTGCGGAGTCATTGCTCACCACGGTCTCTCGCCCAGGCCGCTATGCATTCAGGTGCAGAAGCCGGAACTCAATCAGGGAGGCACGAGTTGGCCTCTTTCAAAACAGCATCATGGGTGCATCTTTTCTCCAGGTGGAGCATCCACCGTGTTTCAGGAACTTGGCTTGGTGCAGTGATAAGCTACACGAGTAAGGCCACCAGCCTCTCAAAACTCAGAATCTAGTGAGGGGAAGAATTAATGAATAGGTTAAAACATACGTCAATTAGGAAATGCACTCTGAAGGAAAATAACCGGAGCTATGAGAGAGAGAAGGATAGCTGCTTTAAATCACATGAGCAGGCAAGGCCTCTTTGTCATATGGATGCTGTGACACCAAGAACATGAAGTAGCCCCTTGCGAGGGGGAAGCCAGGGAGGGCGTTGGCTCGGCAGCTGCAGTGCAATGGCCTGAGGCAGGAAAGGGCTCTGCACATCAGGAAGCTATAAGGAAGCCGGGACTCTAAGGCAGCAGCCAGCCAGGAGTGGGACAGGGCTGCACAGGACAGGGCGGGGCAGGGACAGGGCTCTGCAGGCTTTGTCGGAGGGTCTCGGTTGGAGCTGAGTTTTGCTAGCTTGGAGGATAGTCAGAGTGCATGTGGAGCAGAGGGGACAAACGCTGGACTGCAGAGAACTGAGGGGTGAGGTGGGGAAATGAGACAAGCATGGGCTTTGTTTCCTCGGGAGAAATCGACTGTAAAGGAGTTCAGAGAAGAGGCGCTGAGAGAGGGTTCCGTTTTCAGTGGGGAAACGAACCGACTTACAGAGTCAGGAGTGAGTCCGTAGAAATCAAAGGAATGTGGGAGGGTGGTTACTCCCCACGGAGCAGGGAGTATTTCTCAAAGAAGGCCCACCAGATCCTGTGGGACGTCCTCCAGGGACTCATGACAAGAATCCCTGGGCATCAGAACAGGCAGTGGGGCAGCCCAAGAAATTCTCTTTTTTGTTGTTTTTTTTTTTTTGAGACGGAGTTTCACTCTTGTTACCCAGGCTGGAGTGCAATGGCGCCATCTCGGCTCACCGCAACCTCCGCCTCCTGGGTTCAGGCAATTCTCCTGCCTCAGCCTCCCGAGTAGCTGGGATTACAGGCACGCACCACCATGCCCAGCTAATTTTTTGTATTTTTAGTAGAGACGGGGTTTCACCATGTTGACCAGGATGGTCTCGATCTGTTGACCTCGTGATCCACCCGCCTCGGCCTCCCAAAGCGATGGGATTACAGGCTTGAGCCACCGCGCCCAGCCAGAAATTCTCATTTCTCAAGAGTCCTTAGTGTAGAAGCTCAGCACCTGAGTAGGCCAGCTTCCAACAGGGGAAGGGCCCTCATTCCTTTGAGACTGAAAGACAATGAGGGCAGAAGTGCTAGAAATGGCTCATCTGTCAGTGCGGGTGGGAGCAGAGAAAAGCTCACCCCGGAGGGCAAACAGCCCATTCTCCCGGGCCAGGAGGGACAATACAAACACCCCTCTGCTTCTTAGCACCTCGGAGAGTTACACAGAACACCAGACCAGCCTGATTGCCCCGGCCCTTCTCAGTGTGTTAATTTCATTGATAGCTGACCATCCTCTCAAGTGGGCTATAGCAGCCCTTCCCCCTAGGTCAGCAGCCTCTGAAATGCATGCCAGAAACGCTGGAACAGAAGAAAACTGAAGGTTGGCAGGTGCATGAGCTCAGGTTTCTCTCTTCCCCTGCTGGGGACACACACAGCACACTCTTGGTCCCAGACTGATTTCAGATTTAACCAACTGGTGAAGAGCCTATTGATACAGGCTTAGGATTGGTTAGGATTTGCTTAGGTCCTGGACAGGCTTGGGTGAAAATTAATGCTCTTAATTTCAGAAGCTGAAAGGAGCTATGTCAAGTGAGAATTAATACTTTTCCATTACTTTTTTAAACATTTTCTCCTAGTTTTTGTGTATCATTAATGCTTTTCTGTTGAACAGGAAAATATGGAAAAATTACATCTGACTTCCATGCTGTCATGATACCACTGTATTTATTATTTCAATTTTCAGAAATATTTTATAAAGAACCGAAACCAAAATAATTTTATTATAGCCCTTTTTCTTGATGAGCTTATGATAAAGCACCCCTTTTCCTAGTTTTTCTTCCCAATACTAAAAATTAGTATTTAAAAATAATCAGAGAAGGCCAGGCGCAGTGGCTCCTTCCTGTAATCCCAGCACTTTGGGAGGTCAAGGTGGGTGGATCCCCTAAGATCAAGAGTTCAAGACTAACCTGGCCAACATATGAAACCCGGTTTCTTCTAAAAATGCAAAAATTCGTTGGGAATGGTGGCAGGTCCCTGTAATCCCAGCTAGTCGGGAGGCTGAGGCAGGAGAATCGTTTGAACCCAGGAGGCGGAGTTTGCAGTGAGCCGAGATCCTGACATTGCACTGCAGCCTGGGGATGAGATCGAAACTCCACCTCAAAAGAATCAGAGAATGAATAAGTACTTCAAAATGAAGAGTAGCTTGTTTTCGTGCTACCTCAAAGTTTTTATGGTGTCAAATATGTTCACTTAAGATTTATCTTGCAACGAATTTTGCCAGTGTCTAAGGAATTGCTCCCCAGTGAAGAGTTTATGGGCCGGCGCACCATACAAACATATGTCAGTCACGTGGGAAACGTGAACAGCCATTACAAATGCACTTTATCAGCACCTTGATTATAGGTGGCAGTGTGACTGCAAGCTTCTCTGAGTCCAACACAGTTGGGTTTGAACCCTTTTTTTACTGTTACAATTGTGGTTCCTGGAAACTACAAGCCTTATGAAACGGGGAGATGAACAATGTGATTGGGGTATTCCAGGTAAGTCTTCTTTTTTCTTCCTTCCTTCCCTCCCTTCCTCCCTCCTTCCCTCCCTCCTTCCTTCCCTCCCTCCTTCTTTCCCTCCCTCCCTCCTTCCCTCCCTCCTTCCTTCCCTCCTTCCTTCCCTCCCTCCTTCCTTCCCTCCCTCCTTCCTTCCCTCCCTCCTTCCTTCCCTCCCTCCTTCTCTCCTTCCCTCCCTCCCTTCCTCCCTCCCTCCCTCCATCCGTCCTTCCTTCCCTCCCTCCTTCCCTCCCTCCCTCCCTCCCTCTGTCCATCCTTCCTTCCTTCCTTCCTTCCCTTCCTCCTTCCCTCCCTCCCTCCTTCCTTCCTTCCCTCCCTCCCTCCCTCTGTCCATCCTTCCTTCCTTCCTTCCCTCCCTCCTTCCTTCCCTCCCTCCTTCCCTCCTTCCCTTTCTCCCCCCCCCCCTCCCTCCCTCCCTCCCTCCCTCCCTCCCTCCCTCCCTCCCTCCTTCCCTCCCTCCCTCCCTCCCTCCCTCCGTCCCTCCTTCCCTCCTTCCCTTTCTCCCTCCCTCCCTCCCTCCTTCCTTCCTTCCCTCCCTCCCTCCTTCCTTCCTTCCCTCCCTCCCTCCTTCCTTCCTTCCCTTCTTCCTTCCCTCCCTCCTTCCCTCCTTCCCTCCTTCCCTCCCTCCCTCCCTCCCTCCTTCCTTCCTTCCCTCCCTCCCTCCCGAGGCAGGAGAATCACTTGAACCCTGGAGGCAGATGCTGCAGTGAGCTGAGATTGCACCACTGCGTTCCAGCCTGGGCAACAAGAGCAAGACTCCATCTCCTTTCTTCCCTCCCTCCTTCCCTCCTTCCCTCCATCCCTCCTTCCTTCCTTCCCTCCATCCCTCCTTACTTCCTTCCCTCCCTCCTTCCTTCTTTCCCTCCATCCCTCCTTCCTTCCTTCCCTCCCTCCCTCCTTCCTTCCTTCCTTCCCTCCCTCCTTCCCTCCCTCCCTCCCTCCTTCCTTCCTTCCCTCCTTCCCTCCCTCCCTTCCTCCTTCCCTCCTTCCCTCCCTCCCTCCTTCCTTCCCTCCCTCCTCCCTCCTTCCTTCCCTCCCTCCTCCCTCCTTCCTTCCCTCCCTCCTCCCTCCTTCCTTCCTTCCTTCCTTCTTTCCTTTCTTTCTTTGAGATGGAGTCTTGCTCTTGTTGCCCAGGCTGGAACGCAGTGGTACAATCTCAGCTCACCGCAACATCTGCCTCCTGGGTTCAAGTGATTCTCCTGCCTCAGCCTCCTGAGTAGCTGGGATTATAGGCATGTGCCACCATGCCTGGCTAATTTTTGTATTTTTGGAAGAGACAGGCTTTCACCATGTTGTCCAGGCTGGTCTTGAACTCCTGAACTCGGGTGATCCACCTGCCTTGGCCTCCCAAAGTGCTGAGATTACAGGCTTGAGCCACTGCACCTGGCCCTGAGTAAGTTTTAAAAGTCATAGATAACAGACATGTATTTGAAAGAAATATAAGTGCATTTCTCATTACAAGTGTTATTCCTTAGCACAATCATTTACAAATATTTTCCAAGGTGCAATTTTACAATCAAAGAGGCACACTGAATGGTTTTCTAAAGTCTCACTCTTCCACAGAGAAGAAACAACATCAATTCATGTGTTTTGCTGATACACGTACTGTTTGATATCAAAAGAACACATTTTGTAACCGAGAGTACTTCCGCTTAGAATCATCCATCATTGGAAGTTCAGGTGAAAATGTATTTCTTTTCTTGGTAAAATAAGACAGAAAAACTACATGGATCTTGAGCTGCCTGTGGTAGTCACTAGCCACATGCAGCTATTTAAATTTAAATTACTTAAAGTAAAGAAAAATTCAAAATTCAGTTCCTCGGTCTCACTCCCCACATTTTAAGTGCCCAAAAGCAGGGTGTGGCGAGTGCGGCCACATTAGGCAACGCAGACACAGAACGTTGCCACCCTCTCAGGCAGCTCTGCTGGACAGTGCTGCTCTCGACACAGTGGATGTGACCTCAGGGCTTCCCCCAGGTCTGTTCCCCACGACACTTGAATTGGATCGCGTTGTACAGCCTCTGACCAGTGTCCTCAATCCTGCATGCGCAACAGAGCCACCTAGGGAGATGGTCAAGGGCAGATTCTCAGGACCCGCCCCTAGGGATTCTGGCTGACATTGGTGTGGAATGTGGTTCAGGCGCACACATCTCTTCAAGCTCACAGATGCCTCTGATGCTGCTCTGGACTTCAGACGAAAGGTGTGTATAGTGCAGTCAGGTTAAGGGGAATACTCAGAGCAGCTGTAGGGAGGAAAGATCACCAAAAGGTTACACCAACATTGAGAATGAAACTCCTACATAGAAAATCATCAGACACAGAGAAGAACCAAACAGCACAGGACCTATTAGAACCTAATAGACAGCTAAGAAATTCCAGTCAATAATGGCAGAATCTTCTTTTTTTTCTTTTTTTTTTTTTTTTTTTGAGACGGAGTTTCGCTCTTGTTACCCAGGCTGGAGTGCAATGGCGCGATCTCGGCTCACCACAACCTCCGCCTCCTGGGTTCAGGCAGTTCTCCTGCCTCAGCCTCCTGAGTAGCTGGGATTACAGGGACGCGCCACCGTGCCCAGCTAATTTTTTGTATTTTTAGTAGAGACGGGGCTTCACCATGTTGACCAGGATGGTCTCGATCTCCTGACCTCGTGATCCACCCGCCTCGGCCCCCGAAAGTGCTGGGATTACAGGCTTGAGCCACCGCGCCCGGCCTATTCTTTTTTTTTTCAAGCACACCTATGAAACGTTCACCAAGTGCCTCCCATTAGTCTTACAAACACTGCTTGATCCAAGGACTTCTCAGGGCTCTTAAGTGGCCGGATCTGTGTTATAACCGTTTAAGGGGGCACCGGATGCTACCACTCACACAGTCCTCCATCAACAGCATTCTTTATCCCTGGAGCAATCCAAGAGAACACCAATGTGGACGCTACACATTTTTTTCAGAGGCTCCACGACAGCCTCTTACAGCACCAAGGCTGTCCTCATACCCCAGTATGGGGGCAATAGCCTCTGAGGGAGTGACAGGTTGGTGTCAGGTCCACGAGAAATGTACTTTCATTGATGGAATAGTGAATCACTTTGGTTTAACAACAGCTCTATTTCATCTACATATCATAACAACAAACACTGAAATGGGACACATGGATTTTTAAAAATGTACCCCCTTTATTCCTCTCCTCAGTCCAGAAATAGTGTCATGGCAAATTTACACTATTCAAATTTGTCTGGAATTTATTTTATTAAATTTCAGCCGAGTCTGAAGACAGTGCTGTCTCAGTAAATGTGATCTTTGTCGGCAGGAGGTCCTTGTGCTGATTTTGACATTGACATTAGCATGTGTCCTGAAGCAAAGGGAAGAGAAGCCTCATAAGTCTGTGGTCATGTGAGGAGGACACAGGACCCCTCAGAGTGCTCATCAAATCCGTGGGTATCACATTAACTTTTGGCCAGGTCCGCATTCAAGCTGGGTTTCACCAGTCACACCGGGAAGGTTTTATTCTTAGATCCAAGGTTTAAGTCGATCAGTTTTCATTTCACTTTTTGCATGAGCTGCAGCAGATGACTGTGGTCGTGTCTTTCACAGGGAGGTGTGGCTCTTTAGCGCTCACGGCCATAAGTCCCACGGGGCCGGCAGGTGCACATCAGTCAACACACCTGCCGCCTTCCTCCACAGGGACCCAACGGTCTCCAGCTGCTTTGCAGACTCTGGCGCTTATCAGAACCATAAAACCGACCAAAACCTGTACCAAGCTCGGGCTGCATTCCGATGGTGGCAGAAGTTCCTACTTGCTTATAGACACACAGTGTTTCTGTTTCCCAGCAGCATAACGTCACACTGAGCCTCCACCGGCCTGTGATCACAAAATGAGGCCACCATCCTTGGTGTGAAATCAAGCCATCCCTTACCCAGGTCTTCAGCTTCAGCCTCCACCATCCAGACAAAACGGTCACACGCCTACCTGCCCAAAGGAGGCTGCTCTCCTCTCACTGCACCCCTGCAACAGCACCAGCCATGCCCAGCCTGCATTCTCAGCATCCTCCTGGGTGCTTGGTGCTGTCAGAGGTGAGGACAGTGGGCTGCTCCTGCTCAATGCCACCCTCAGTCTCACGGCCCCCAAACAATTCTGCACATGATAGAGTCATCTAGTCTTTTTTTTTTTTTTTGAGACGGAGTTTCGCTCGTTACCCAGGCTGGAGTGCAATGGTGCGATCTCGGCTCACCGCAACCTCCGCCTCCTGGGTTCAGGCAATTCTCCTGCCTCAGCCTCCTGAGTAGCTGGGATTACAGGCACGCACCACCGTGCCCAGCTAATTTTTTGTATTTTTAGTAGAGACGGGGTTTCACCATGTTGACCAGGATGGTCTCGATCTCTTGACCTCGTGATCCACCTGCCTCGTCCTCCCAAAGTGCTGGGATTACAGGCTTGAGCCACCACGCCCGGCCTAGTGTGGTGTTCTTAATACACCTCTAACCTCTTGACTTCTTATTTTTAACTTCCTCAGTGGCCGTTTGCTGTTGCTTCTTCCTCAAAAAGGAAAAGCGTAATCCACCGATAAAAGACACCATGGCCAGGCCAGAAGTAACGGCGCAGAGA